CTGGTTTACGGGCTCATTAACATGATTACGCCGCAGATACAGCGAGAGTATGCTCGTGTACTCCCTGATTTGAAGTCACTACTGCAGAAAGAGCAGGCGTGGAAAGCCAAGCACGCTCAGACCAATCAGACCCTTGGTGTGTCTCAAGCATTTGAGTTTGGGAAGAAATCCTCCTTTGAGTATGTGCTAAGAACCTGTTTCTGACTCTTCAGCTAACTGGATTTACAGGCAAACAAGGATCTCTCAACTCGAACATGATATCATCCAACTCGCCACGAGACTTGATATTGCTCTATCCAAACCTCCAGATGCCGAACATTGATCTCTTTTTTTTCAGTCTTTCGTCGTGCTGTGTACCATCTTATTTGAAACGGGTTAATGATCTCAATGTATTTTACTTAGCAGAAATATACGTCTTGTTTACAATAATTCCCTGAGACTACTGTACATAACACTTACACAGTTGAGTGTCATTAAGGAGTTAGTAGACGTAGCGAACTGCGTCAGAAAGTCAGTCTATAAATCTACAGCGTTTGAACAGATACGTACAGTCGGGATTTTCTTGGTCAGTAAGGTCGTCAAAGGCTTGTCGATGGGCAAGGTGCTCATCCTGGAGGGCAGATGGTTAACACAGACGCCGAGTTTCGATTGAGATGAGTGTACCGAATCTTCACCGCTAGCTTGACTTTCTTTCAGTGATTGCGCACGGCGTTTCAAGACATTCAAACGCATAAGCCGGACCCGGAGGAAGAAGATGGCTGCGATCTGGAGCCCGTACATGACCATGTGGGAGATCCATGCTTTCACGTATCGAGGGCTGTCATCAGAACGGAAAACTAGACTCATGTTATCATTAGATGTATAATGGTGCTAGAAAGCTAGAACGCACCTTGGGGCCCCACAGCATTTCCAACTGCCCATGCACTAAGTAAGGTTTCAGTATCTAGTTATTTCTAAAGATGCTAATGCGCTCACATGAACACCAACGTCGACCCGATCACTTGCTTGGACCGCTGTACGGATACTGTCACTTAGCATCCTCAGCGAGGCATTATTCTGCACGTACCCCGCCGACATTTCCGGACATCAGTGCCAAGTTCAGGACTGCAACGGCGCCAAAACCTTGTGTGCAACTGGTGCATCGTTAGCACAAAATTTTAGACCAAGAAAATAGGCATACTAAAAAGCAATGAGAAGACCGACTTTTGTCTTTGCAGACGTTTCTACACAGATAAATACAATCGTGCCAGCAATATTGGGAAGAGTATATAGCTATTCACAAACGAAGGTGTTTACATGGAGGCCAAAACATTAGTGTAAGGTGACTTACGAAGGCTAGCAGAAGTTTTTGGTTGTATCTTTTCGACAGATATGCCGCACCGAACAAAAAGGACATGATGATGGCCCCTGCAAACGATTGATTAGGAGTAGGACGCAAATATGGGACATTCGCACCCTGCGCAATGGCGAGCAAGTATGTCTGCAGGACCGTGAACCCCTTCTAACAGTTAATACTGGCTATCGGGGCGACAAGACGCAGTACTCACAAATGCGGTCAAAATGATGTTCGAGAAAGCACCAATACCACCAGTGGGCAAAGCATTCGTAAAGGAGATCAGGGTAATAGCCCATATAGTTGGATCTAAAAGGCCTTCGACTGTTGAAGGGCGGTCAGCACAGGAACTTTTATGGGTGCATGCGTGCAACGTACTCGCTTGGTGTTTCTGTGGCAATACTTAGCTCAAAGCACGACAGAGGATGACTAAGGATGACCTCACCTTGAACTCCTTGTTCTGCAATCCGGTATCATTTTTCCTGACGCGTTCCGCAATAAGAATGCGATCTTCGGGGGTAAAGTACTTGGCCCGCATGGGACTGTCTGGGAGCCAGAATCCGACGAAGATACCCCATACGAACGTGATACAGCCGAGTAACTGATAGATCGATTAGAAATGGAGGACACCGCGGAAAAGCGGAGGCCGCCTACAGTAAAGAGTATTTGCCAGTTCTTAATCTTGGCGTCTGTGATCTGGGCAATTCCGTAGGCAATAAGACCGCCGACGCATTGCTGGAAGCCATTCATGGAGTAAAACGACCCGATGACCAAAGCCTGCTCTTCTCGGGTATACCACATCGTAGACCTTTGCTCGTCAGTGACGCATCTCCCGCAAAACGGAGCGAACTCACAGGAAAACAAAGGCTGGTTGACAGACACATTCAAATATACCCAGAAGTGTTCGTACGATAATCAAACCGACAAAATTGTTACAAGCAGCCGTGCATGCTAGAACGGCCCCCCAGGCCATGATACTGTCGGCGAGACTAAGCTTCCATTATGACACGGGAGATAAGAGGTGCACATACTTAAACGAAAGATATTTCGCAATAGGGAGCCGCTGGATGAGCCGATTGGTTGGGAACTCCCAAGCTAGTCTATATACACGTTACACATCTACAAAGATGCGATATGGTGAGCACTTACATCGCAATATAGACTGGAATATAGTCAGAAAACTGCCCCAAGCCAGAGTGCCGATGCTTACCACATGTAGTCAACCAGGCATATTGTTGCCCATGAAGGCGGGTGTCTGTCCGAATACCCATGATCGAGGCGAAGTTGATTGTTCTATGAAAAGGTGTTACACGACGCGCTTGGATATCGGAGGGTAGCCGAGTAATCACCCTTTATCCAGTGTTTGTGCAACTGAAGATAGGTGTAAGTGTAGGATACATTGAAACGAGACAAACATGTTTACAGTAAGTGACAACCATGACAAGCTAGCGGGTAGGAAGAGTCAGCAACAGAAGGTAGGAAAATGTAGAATATCGTACCAAGACACGCTTGTGAACGAGCCATCTGAGCCGCCTGTTTGTCGCTTCGTCGATGACTACAGGCGTGTCCTGTGACGCGAAAAAGTTGGCGACTTCAGCGTCAATTCCGGCTGGCGGTGCGCCTAGTGGAGGAAGTATTTAGCCAGTGGCGAATTGTCAAGCAAGAAGTAATTACCAGAGGTAGGAGAGCCAGTGCGGTAGGAGTCTTTCTCGACATCCTCAACGTGTACCTGCAAGCCCTTCACCACGTCCGACATAGTGAGAAGAAGTTGAAACTTCGGACCCTCTGAGAAGCATCAGCAAACTTTTTATACAGTTCTATGAAAGGGGATCGGAAGGTCCTGTGATATGATCGCCCCTGGCCTAACAATGGTACGCGACCTGCTGCAAGTTGATCGTTGGTCCGGGGCCCCGCAATTGCACCTCGTTATTTCCCCACATGCCCCCGGTTGGCGGCCCGCGGCCCGCTTCCCTTCTCTCATACACTTTAAAGCGAGCTCCGCAGCCAGAACACTCCTTTTCATCGCTATGTCGTCTAGAAATATCAACCCTCGAAAGGTAAGTCCGCGTATCGCCCGCTGTTTGTCCTTTTCCTCATCCATTGTGCAGGTTCAAACCCTACAACATATCCGCAATCTCATCAATTGCTTAGTGAATATCAAAGATGAGACCGGAGAGTTCCTCATGACCTTGGAAGATGGAAGGGTCATCGATACGAAAGGGTGGAACGACTGGGAGGTGAGGTCATCGTTATTAAAGAGACAGCTTTTGACTGGCGCATTCTAGTGGACACATGGAATTGGTTAGTGATTTCCGGTATCAATAACGAAACACCTAAACACAAACCAGGACTTTACGGACTTTGGAAGTTTCATGAAATCACCGGTGATCAGGAGGCCCTGGATATTTCCCTGGCGTGGTTTAAAGACCGCTTTGAAATTGGAACCACCAAAGTATGTGAATCGTGTTACCGAGACACAACGTTCGCCTGACTTCTAGAACAGAACGTCAATACCATGTCCCCATTGTTGACTGCCGCATACCTTCATGAGGGGAAGTACGCTAGTTATCTCGCCCACTTGGATTCTTGGGCCGAATGGATAATGTACGACATGCCCAGAACCGAAGATGGCGGTCTACAGCACATCACATATCTTGTTGACAACTACCAGCAACTCTGGGATGATACGCTGATGATGTCCGTCTTGCCTTTGGCGAAAATTGGTCTTGTATTGGGGAGACCTGCCTACGTTGAAGAAGCCAAGCGACAGTTCTTGCTACAGTAAGTCTTTGTGATCGCAACAGATGATGCATTTACTCACTGTTTATAGTATTAAGTATCTGCAAGACGTGCAGACTGGTCTCTGGTTTCACGGTAGATGTTTGTCCGAGCTACTCCGGCCTGAACTCACATCCATGAACAGGGTGGACATTTGATGGGCGACACCACTTTGGGCGGGCAAGATGGGGCAGGGGAAACTGTTGGGTAACAGTGGCCATTCCGGACTTTGTTGAGATGCTTCAATTGCGTGAAACCGACGGCGTTCGGCTGTTCCTAGTCTCCTCTCTCGTCGCTCAAATCGGTGCTCTGGTGAAGTATCAAGACTCCGCAACCGGTCTTTGGCATACCATTCTCGACGATCCGACATCGTATTTGGAGGCGTCTTGCACGGCTGGCTTCGCATACGGAATCATGAAGGCGCTGAGGCTGAGACTGATACCAAAGGAAGAGAGATATGTCAATACTGCGAAGAAGGCGATCCAAGCTGTGTTGGATAATATCACTGAAGCCGGCGAGTTGAAGTTGGTGTCCTTTGGAACTCCTGTGTTCGACGATATCGAGAGGTACAAGCAGATACCTCTGACGAGTATGCCATACGGACAGAGTCTGGCCCTCTTGGCGATGACAGAATACCTTAGAACCTTCTTGTAGTGCTGTCGTCGAAACCGGTGATCAAAAGAACATGGATGTTGCAAAAGCGATCACTTTACGTAGCGAAAGCATGATCGGGCCGCAGAGAGACTGGCCACGATCACGATCAATTATGATCGGGTTAGCGTCTCTACCTCCATTCTCCCCAGAAGTCCGTCATTTAGAAAGTATTTTCCTCCAATTTTATGCACTTTTCGGAAGGGAACCTGTATGTCTTTACTACAGATCCCATCAAGGCAGAATGGCCGAGCGGTCCAAGGCGTGTGACTCAAGTTGAGTACGTAATCATCGTGTACAAAACTTGCCCGATTCGGGTTTCTCATCATCGTATGATGGCAGGGGTTCGAATCCCCTTTCTGTCAGTTTTTTGCCCTCCTTCACATGGTTAAGCGACAACAGGACCCAAGTTGCTACTTATAAGTAAAAAAGTAAGTAGTACATTACAAGCCTAACAGTTACTGAGGTAACTAAACCTCATCGTCCTCTGAGCTGGGAAACAGTAAAAAGTTCGAATATTCTTGTTTGCCTCATTCCTTTAAAAGTTGATTCTGTGAATGGTTTTTGCTCTGAAAAGCGTTCGAAGTTCCACACTTCAAGTTGTCAATTTTATCACCGACGGTAATTGGTTGAAACTTGACAGATCACAACTTTTCGATGGTATTCTTCTGCAACTATGCTGGAAATGAAAATCTCGAGATGAGTAGTGGGCGAGTGTCCTAGGGCCTGCGTTGGCAGCATCCGCAGCAAAGGCGGGTAGCGAGAGGAAGACCCTGGAGATAACACTGCCCTAAAAGAAGGTTCGGCTCTGTCCAGGAGATCACCTACTACACATCGAGTTTGGGAATTGATCTCACTAGTTCACTGGTCAACGACCAGACCAATCGGCTGATAGTTCCAGGAGGCAAAAATAGGATGCGAAAGTAAATACACCGACACTGTCTGTCAATCAGAAAGCGGTTACGGAACAAAGGGTGGTACTATGCGGAGGGCCACGGTATGTGAACAGGGTTTAGTCTTAGACGCTTCCATCAGTAACAAGTACATCGTTTCGTTAACAACAGTTTGACCCTTCCTAAAGGAAGCAAATGAAGGATGGTCGGATGGTGAGAGCTCATACAATATATCACCTGGCAGGCATGAAAGACTTCGGAACCATAACAGGTTTGTCAGCGATTCAGGTTGGTAGCTTATGAAGAAACTATCACCACGGGTGACCACGAGGGGATGAAAAATGTATACATGTCGTTACACGGTCCCAACGTTCTTACTTAAGTACTGTACTAGAACGTGTGTAGACCAAGCTCGGGTCAAAATATGAAGACTACTTTCGTGTAAGGCATATCAATTCGAGCGTTAATCGCGAGCCGATAGATGGTAGTTGAGGCTCGCATATTGGAAGGCTGTTCTTTTAGTCTCCCAAGCAAGGAGGAAACACCGTACTTGCTGGAGGAGATGTTGTACTTACTGAAGGCCTACCGAGCACGCGTCCGAGTCAACGGTAGATTGGAACCGGTCCCAACCCGACCTGGATTCTGGTCCTCTTAGTAGCATCAAGTACCCCCCGTCAAACAGAGTCTGGAATCGTATTGCGCCGTGTATAGCCGGCCTGCAAGATCCGTCGTGCTCGAACGCCCAACTTGAGCCGGTGACTTACGGTATTGAATATTTGGGGCAACATCAGCTGAGCTGAGAGCGCAAATCAGGGATCGCACTGCCACAGAAAGGTGAATTCTCTTCGTCTGTCAAGTACAATGGGCAACACTCACCATTCCATATGTCCGCTGCTCTACCCTGCACACAACGACACCACTGTCGAAACTAGTGTATTCTGTGGAGGGACCAGGAGCGACAGAAGAAAAGCCGAGGACTAGCATTGACGTCCACCACGTAGTTTACCTGTTGCGGTTGATCGAATGCAGATACACGCCAAAAGGACGAGCGACCTGTCGAGGATTGCCAGATACCGTTAGCTTGGATGGTTGATAGATCTGGATGATCACCATCTCCTACGCGAGGTTTGGGTACGTGCCGTACGAGCGACCTTCCAAAAGAGATCAAGAAAACTGCTGATACATCTCCTGTGGAGACGCTGACCGTAAAACCTCTCTCCTCCGACACCATTCGGAGTGGCGCGGAGCTGAAAGACCAGCCATCGTGACGCATTAGCGTTTTCCCGGTCTCCAAAATGTAGCCGAAAGACTGCGAGCTAGTGGGCAATTCACATGGGTGTCATCCCGCTTTCGGCGTCGAACATTCTAGTACCCGCGTATTCGCAATATGTGGTAGCAGATAACGGCTTCGCTCCTCGTCAGAGCTCCACACGCGGAGACCCGTACTGTGGAGTCGAAGTCGCTAGCTTCTGATCCAGCCCTTCCGAGGGTGTTTTTCTCACTCGTGGGGTCCATGGGACCAGGGACCATTCGAATGCTTAAACAAACTACCGACAGAGATATCGGTCGATAGCAAGTGGCGTTGTGCAAGAATCGCCGAAGGTGCATATGACTCTGGCTTGCTGTTCAATTCCCCGCAAGCATCGTTTGGGTCGGATGCGGTGTAGGGTGCTAGGGTCGCGGCAGAAGAGCTAGCGGTTATCACAAAGAGATTTCTGCCTCCGCGAATTTCATCGCATCTCGAAGCTGTGGTCACCTTGTCGCGTCCTATGACTTGACACAGCACCGACGGGTCATTCGGCGATTAGTATAGGGTAATTGGCGCCATGATTGGGGAGGTTGTTGTCCACTCTTGTACACACGGAGTTGAAGTGGGATCGTTCTGAGTAGAAATAACGCTATGGCACCGCGCAAGGCTATCTGGGGCTAGTCAGTGTTTTGACGTGAAATCAGAATACACATATAAGCTGTTAGGCAGATACACAATTTGGTACGCACCGGCAAACGGTGCAAATCCATTGGACAGGACAACTTTAATCATCTAGAACGTGTTTTTGGGATCAAGAGTAAGTACCCCGAAAGATGAGCTGCCTTTTGCGTTGTTTGGGGTCTAATCTTTGGACATACCATCCTAAAGGAACTTGATCGATGAGCCAGACCTCCCGATTTGATGCCGGGTAACCGTACTAAGCAGACGCGACACCTAAAAAGGTTCGCCCATTTTCGATCGTTCGCGTCGACTTTCGGCGTCAATAATTAAGAGGACTGTGGCCCACATGTCAGAATAAAGAACACGCGGAACAATTGGATATTTGCGCCACAGGTGCGTTTATCAGCGCCGCGGTTGTTGAATTCATTAGGCGCGAAATGATGGATGGGCGGAGATTCGGACGCCAAACATTCGACTCAGACAGGAGTATGGGCAATGGGCAGTAGGCACCAGAGAACAGAAAGATAGCTCATGAAAACATATGCATAAAGCCTCTTGTGAGAAAGACACATCCGGAGCGCCTGTTATAGTGACTCCCCTCCCATACATTGAACCATTCTTTGCTCGTTCGTTACTTCGCCTTTTGCCAGGATGATAGAGGACGTCGTAAGAGGTGAGGCAACTGCAATGACAGTCAATGACGGTTCCGACGTGTAGCAAGACGGAGAAAAAGACAACACACCTCAAAGGACGTCGCTCGTCATCCAAACAAGAAGCGCGATGGACGCAAACGCGCGAAGTTCGCCTTAACGCTGGGAGGTCCTGTGAGGTCTAGCGACGAGTGAGCACGGAAGCAAGGTAGCAGAGCAAGGCGGCTGACCTCGACAAACCAGCCTCGCGGGGCTACACTGATTGGAAGGAGCTGGCCGAAAGTGGGGGTGGAACGAACCCAAGGTCGAAAGGCAGGAAAAAAAGGCTTTTTATAAGGGAGACTCAGGTCCAAATGCCAGGAATGGAGGTGATTGATTTGAGATAACGGCGAGGCAGCGGCTCAGCTGATCCGCCTAAATCCAGCGGCACTACGAGCCATAGTGGTGGTCCAAGACACGGACATAAAAGGGCCAGAAGATCTGCAGGACAACGAGATGCGCGTAGCGATATCACTGTTAGAGTCAGGCAAAGCTAGAGCCAAACTAGACCAAACTCGATCACATCCGTCCCGGGCTCAGTCATCACTCTTACATCTCTTCCATCCACTCTCAAAGTCTTCACACGAAGGAGGCAGAGTCGTAAGCGGATAGCTGGCTGTGGGTGAAGTGAGGTCCGTGTCTTCGCTTGCTCTCCGTTTTTCCCGCTAATTTTTGGTCTACTTACCCCTCTCCAGTTCAGAAGAAGTCCGGATTTCGAGTATGGCGTTCCAGTATTCCAGGAAGGGTTGCTTCAAGTGCGGTAATCGTAAGTTTCGCAAGCATCCGTGACGGCCCATCCTTGAAACATTGCAAAGTCGGTCATATTGCCGAGAACTGTTCCTCGGAGCAACGTCTGTGCTACAATTGCCGCCAGCCTGGTCACGAATCTTCTGCCTGTCCGTCTCCCCGTACTGTTTCCGCGAAACAGTGCTACTCTTGCGGCGGTGTCGGTCATATTCAAGGTCTGTCTCGCGCTGGTACGTCTTAGGGGATCAAACCTCACCTCCGTACCAGCGGAATGCCCGAGTTTAAGGATCCAGCAGCAGGGCAGTAATCAGAAGTGCTACGTACGTTACCAGGTGTTCTTCTGATCCACGTCGTCACCGATTTTCCACCCAGAACTGCGGCCGATTCGGTCACATCGCTCGTGCCTGCCCCAACGGAGCCAACGGGATGGGAGGCTTTGCCTCTCGGGCGCCTCCCCCCGGAAGGGCGCTCAATACCGCTACTTTGCCGCCTGTAAAATGCTACAGGTGTGGCGGTCCTAACCATATGGCCAGGTATGTACGCTCCTCATTTTTCTTTCGCCGTCTCACCTTGTACAGGGACTGCCTTGCAACCCCTGGTTCGCTCGGTGAGACCGCTTCAGTTGCGAACAAGAACAAGACCTGTTACAAGTGCCAACAGGAAGGTCACGTAAGTGTCAATGGATTGTCGCTGTCGTCGCTTGGAGCTCAAACACTGTTCCCGTAGATTGCCAGAGACTGTCCCGAGGCCGAGACATTTGTTGCTTAGGAGGCTATGGCATCGCTTTTCGAAATTCATGATACCTAGCGTGAACTCCGCTTTTTTTATATGTATCATTGCTCGTAATAGCGTTATATCTTGCTGGGCATCTTTATTATTTCGAGTAGAGCTTTACGCCGAACGAACTGTAATCGAAGCTGTATTTTCAGTGATCGGGATCCAAAATATTTTCAGAGCGCGATCTCAAAAAATTGCCGCAAGGTGCCGTGTTATTTTCTCAAACCGCAACCAGCAACATGTCGATGATTTCCTCCGCATTGTCTATGCTGCCCAAAAGAGCAGGCCTCACATCATGTCGCATGTTCACTATGCCGCTCAAGCCTGAA